AAAATCCAGTCTGCTCCCAGGGGCACATACTGTTCAATAACACTTATTTTGAGAACTACGACTTCCTGAAGATTAATAATGTTCCTCATATAAGTGCTGTGTGGGGTTAATTCTGTGCTTTGTTTCTGGTCCTCCAAGCATCCATATGACAACTATAGTGTGATCTAATTTTCAGATGATGAAACTACAGCCAGTAACAGAGGCACCTGGGTACAGGAAGTAATTGGGTAACACTGAGCAAGATGAGCAAGGATCTTATATCTCTCTACCTTGCCACCTAGGTTAACCCATTATGTCCATTGTCTCATTTATGGAACAGCTAAACACCCTAAATTGAGGAACAGATGAACCTTTGGTAACTTTGAAATAAATATATTTTTAGAATTCTATTCTTTTGAGAAAATAAATAGTTGAATGACTAGTGATAATGTTAATATTAATAATATTATTAATGATAATAAATTATGCAATCTGTTCTAGATTGTTATTTTGAACCCTTTTAAATGAATTTATGCCTAATTAATTGGAAAATTCACAGAACTAAAAGCTAGTGACTTAGTGGGTCAACACTATTAAAATCCCCAGGGGAAAATTTTCTACAAGATTTCTTCTCCACCACCAAACCAGAATCTCATTTGACTTCTTGCCCCTAAGGTGCTCATTGCCCTTTCAGATATAGTCACTTGCCACATTAAGTCTGATGCCAGATGATATTTCTAATTTGAGGTGTTTTAATGTTCTTCTCCCCAAAAAGGAGGGTTTTATACAAACCGTATTGCTGCTAAGAGACTCAAAGATGTCTTTCTTCTTGTATGCCATATACTTGCAAGGTAATGTATTCAGGGTATCATTAAAAGAAGACCTAAATCCATTCTGTAAGTAAAAGATTCCTTATTCTGCTGCTGATATGCCCTGAGTGGGTCCAAGGTTGGTTAAGGTGGGAAACACTCAAGTGACCGGTGATGTGGAGGCTTGATATTTTCCTCAGCAGCCATGTATTTTCTGTGTGCCGAGACTTTAAAAACAATGGGATTCAGTGCCCTAAATCATCGCATGAAATGTTGGGAGGTTGGTGGTGGTGATAAGTGTGAGAATTTACCGTGAGAGACCAATAGAAGGCAAATAGGAAAAGTGGAATAGGTGAGAGGGCTGGAGAAGGTCAGAGATGTAATTGATGACCTTGGGAGAATGAAGCCCTCTGATACATCAAATGACCCAACCCTGGAACTCATTAGCAAGGCCCTGTTGGCAGCCACACTGAGCCACAAATGTGAACTCAATACTTGTCAAGAGCAAGACCAAGTCAACTCATTGAAGATGCAAGGCAGGCTTGGCACTATGAACTTGGTTCTTACTACAGCCATTTAATTATTTTGTGAGTTCTTATAATTCTCTGAGAAAAATAACTGGCCTCAGAAGTATAGTATCCAACACTTTTTCGGTTGCTATATTTTTATGAACTGCAAGAAACTAATAGTGCTTTACAGAAACTACATAAAGGTGGTGTCAGCATTTTCAGTACAAACTCCCATTTCCCGAGGTGTATGCATTCTGCAGAAATTTGCTTGAGGGTGAAACTTGGCATATGTCTGAGCCCCTGACGGTCCACACCTCATTTCGGAGGTACTTACAAATGAGTCCTTCATATTCTCTACATTTGGCATCTGGAATTTTTAGAAATTAAAAAAAATGGCCTTAATAGCAGGTGGTTTCTGGACTTAATGTCAGTGCATACAATTTTTAGAAAACTAATAATGTTCAGAAATTCCAGAAGTCCTGGCTTATAGATTCTGGTATGACAATATTGCACGTTAAAGGGAAAAGAAAGGAAATTTAAGATAATGCCAGAAAATGTTGGTGTTTTCAGAACTTAGACTTCCTTCACCACTTTTTTTTCTACCCCAGATCTTTCACTTGCCCTATTTCATGCAACTACACCGTGGTTTTGTGTTAGAGACCAGGCAAGCACATATAGGCTTTGGGAGTGGGGCCTCTTCTCAGATCACTAGAAAGGGAACCAAGAGCCTACCTTTGTTTCTTGAATCTTCATTGAAGGGACTGGGTTAGTGCTATTCGAGACACAAAGAACAGGGAAGAGAGAGGCAAAGCCAAGAAAACACTGCCCTTGGAAGTGATGCCCACATAAAGCTGGAAAACAAAATAAACTCTCAAAACAACAGAGGCACGGAAGTCTAAGAATCCAACGCAAGAGCGTGGAAGAAAGAGCTACTAAGCAATCGTGGTTCTCAGGAGCAAGATAGATGAAGATGCACAGTCATCCTGCAGAGAGGCAGTTGACTGAGCAGATGCTGGGCATGATAGCAGTGGACCTCAACCTCAGGACAGGGCCCAGGAATCAAGCTGGAATTCCAGGCCAGAATCAGGTCCAGAGCAGAAGCTGGTGCCTTGCATAGAAGCATGGGACAGTGCTGTCAGCCTTCTTGTCACATGGCTGCCTAAGTGGCTATGAGCTGGGAAGCCCCTACTTTGAGGTCTACCTATACTTTGGGGAAAATCAGGTTAGCTTGTTGGTTAAAAGCATGGTCTTTGTAATCAACAAGGGTAGATTCAAATCAGGTCCATTTTTGACCTTGAATGGGTTACTTTCCTTCTTTGAGCTCTGATTCTTCATTTGCAAATGGCAATAATAGTTCTTATTTATAGTGAGAACATAAGTATACAAAAAAATAAAAATAAAACAAGTGAACTCCTGATAGTTGTGATAAATAGCTATACTTTGGATGGCCCATCTTCATGAAAGGAAAAGCGCCTCTAGTGTCCCAGCCTGCTGAGCACTGTGGTTCAGGGGTGGTGGTCCTGATGGTATTGGGAGTGATTATTAGGACAAGCAGCCTGGAATACAAACTTTCCAACATCTCAGTTCTTGTTTTCTATGAGTCTTTACTTCTGATCCCCCCAAACTGGATCAGTTTTCATAAAGACCCACTGACTTTTGTGTGAATTTTAATATTAAAGACTCTCAGAATTCTCCCAAATACAAAACATAGACATGCTAAATCTGAAGTGTTGCATATCAACACTTAAATTAAGAAAAAGCACCAAAGTCTGAAGAACGGAGTCTTCAAAAAAAAAAAAAAAAGACTATTTTGACAATATCTTCTCCTGCAAACAGATGATCGTTTCTCACAAAGGCCAGTCTGTAACAGGGAAGTCCTCTTAATTGAGGAGAGAATGAATAGACAACATAATGAATAATCTGTAAAACTGGTTGAAAGTAAAGCTGACCAGATAGAAGCCGTGAAATGAACAGGGCTGAGAATCAGTCTTTCAGATCCTAACTGTATGAGTCAGAGATACTGCAGCCCAAGACTACACTCTGCAAGCTGATGGGATATGAAGTGGTTAAGTGGCACCTCACTAGAGAAAATGGTGTCTGAGTCTTCCTACTACATATCCCTGTGGAGATGGAAGCCTCTCCTTCAATGGGGACTTCATCTTCTTAGTACTTCCCAAACCAAGCACCAAACCCTCCTAGAACCCAGAAAAGGTACCCCTTCTTTGTCTTTACCTTGGTTTGGGGAAATTCCCTAAATTCTGCTACCCACAGTGAAGAGGTTTTGAGAAAAAGGGTAGAGAAATGGGCACATAAGTTTGAATACTAATTGCTAAGCCTTGAGTATGATTGTTTATGAAAGATACTTAAGGATAAGCTATTTATCTAACAGATATCTACTATGATGTAATAAATGTACTAAGCCTTTTGTATATGTTGTTTATTGTTTCACACATCTGGTTATTCTACAGTGTGTTAGCTAAGCATCATTCTAGATTCTAGGGATTTATTAGCGAACATATTTTAATACTCATAGCAACCCCATAAGGAACCTGAAATCCCAAGAGGTTAAGTCAAGAATTCACACTATCTGTTATTGGCAGAGTCAACATCACAAGCCACTGTTCCATAAAGTACCAAAGAAATTGTAGCTATTGAGCTTTTAATACAAAGATTATATAGTAATCTATTTTATTCCCCACCAGGCCTATTACAGTGCCGAGTTAGACCTCTTATTCAGTGCTAGATTTATAAGATGAAACTAAGGAAGTTTCACTCCAAGATTTTAGTGTATACACGAAAATATTCTGGATGACAATGAGATTTTGGAAGCTGATTCATTGGCTTGGATAAACCATATTACTGTTTCAGAAATTCAATATGTGATAATTTTTTGAGAAATTTTATATGAAAATGTTTAAAGATGAAACATATTTAACAGAATACATCACATATGTGTAGAATCAACTTAATTTGCTGTAGAGAATGGTGGGATCCTTGGGGGTGGCAAGACACCCCAATGGTACTACTGAGTTTTGTCACTGCCTTCAATGAGAATGAAAAACAGAAAGTGGAGGTATTGTCTTCTCTGTGAGACTTCAAGTGGCCATTTGTTGGAATAAAGCCCTCAGGGTGGGTGATGTTATAATGGGTAAGGTCCCTTTGGAATTACCCTTGTGGCATGTCAATCACTTGTTCTCACAGTCCAACCAAAAGGCCAGAGATTGTGTCAGCTGCCGAATGGTGGATAATTCATGCAAGACATACACAATCACCTTTGTTAGGACACCACTTCAGTTTGTTATAGGTGCTCACTTCTCATTTTATTTCAGTTAATAAATTCTACCTAACTGAAGTCACATAATTCCCCAATTCAAATAAGGGTAATCAAAACTAATTGTTGGCCTCTAATGGCTGTTGCTTTTCTACTATACCTCTAGAGAACCATCTAGGGCAAGTGTGCATGTGACAATCACTGCCTATACCAGCTGGCCTTCTTGCCTCATTTTGTGACAGGAATAATTTCATGTTCAATTAAAGGTCTGTTTCGGGCACCTCCCTGGAAATCTACCGTACCGATTCCAAATGTTAATCATTTTTCTTACTAAGTCTTTCTCTTAGGTGTCCCCTGGATGGTACCCAAATGCCAGTCATCTTTTTATCCTTTCCTGTGAGCTTTCTCTAAACCTCTCTTTCTCTGTCTCAGAATCAAACTGCCAGATGAGAACATTGGACAGTGGAATTGGAACCTTCCCACTCCCAGAGTCAGGAAATCGCTCGATGGGACGGTACCTATGCCCACCAGACTCTCCGGAGGAGACCAACCCCCTCCTGTCTCTCCAGCCAGCTCCTTCCACAGCTTCTTCCATCAGAGCCCAAACCCTAGAACGCGAAGTGCCTTCCTCCGCGGACAGCCAGTGCTCCACAAAGACTGCCATCGTTCATTCCATATCCGACCCCATCATGACGGCCAGGGGCCTGCGACCTCAGAGTCGCCTTCCCAAACCAGCCTCCTCAGGTATAATGCCAATTTCCTTGCCAGTGAGAAATTTCCCACCCACAGAAAGGCATTTTCTGACAAAAATGGAGAATTGCCTCCCTGGAGACTGGAAAATCAATGACCTGTGCTCTATGGAAAGGGGGATTTGTGAAAACCCCTGCATGTCCTCCACCAAAAAAGTAAAACTGTGTATGAGATATTATCAACACATGGGTATTATGTTAAGGAGTGCACACACATAAAAGGAAACAACCATGTAAGCACCAGTCTATGAATACATAAATTGATTAAGGAAAAACACCATACAACATACTGGTGAGATTTTTATCCTGTAAAACTTAACTGTGAATATAGGCCAATTTAGACCCGAGACATAAATGTAGCTGAAATGTTGTTTGCCCTCTAACCAGAAACCATATGTCTTCCAATGTATTCCTAGCCTGTTCACATATATTTATATGTTGAACTATAAAAGACTTAGTTTGATACATCAGCAATAGATTGTGCATTAACTGCAGAGGAAAGCAGCGAGCCTTCCCATGGAGAAGTACTACTCTTCGTTGCAGTCAATTGAAATAAGCTTTTATGATTAAAGGCAGGACCAGGCTAAGGGTCAAAGTTTTTTCATTGTTATCTCAAGATTAAAGATATTTATTGCCGGCCTGGGTGACACTAAATAATTTTTAATGTGCATGGCTTGTGTGGCTCTGATGACATGCATAAGCATGTGAAGTAGAACTCTGAATCGAACCCTTTCATTTACGATGAGGTGATTAGAAAGGAGCTGCAGGTTGGGATTATACCATGGGTTTCTGAGAAATTAGAAGACTTTTAATTAAACATCTTTGAAGGAACGTGTTGAGCTATTCCATGGCTGAGTTCTTCCTTCATGCAGTAATACCAACTGCCAGGGATGTTTCATCACAGACTTCTACCCGTTCCAAGCCAAGGCTACGATGTTTAAAGGCTGTAATGCATATTATTTTTGAAATAAGTGCATTGTTAATTAATGACACCGCCTCCAGAGACTCAGGGGCGAAATCTTAGTTATAGATTATGTGCTTTATGCCTGAATAGTCACATGTGTGACCTCAATTCAGCAGCGGGCTGCTGAGTAGACGCCATGATTAAACACTGTCATTATAACAAATTGAATAGAAACCGCAAGCCTTGAATTGCTTCATAAGAAAGGGATAGGAAGGAGATTGTTCTGATCTCGCTGCTAATATTCACTGCACCAGGTTTCTAAGGTTTGTATCTTAATTAAATTGTCACGAAGAGTTGTAAAAAAGTAGTATATGGTAGAGGGCAAGGTGAACACAACACACACAGCAGGATATTTTGGAGTCGCCCTTCCTAAAGTTTCCTGCCCATTGCGTGACAACTGTGATCCACAGGCAGGGCTGGGCTTTCCAGTGGCTCTTTTCTCAGTGGCCGTTTGTTATTCAGGTGAAAAATTAGGGAGTGGCATGCTAGATGGGACAAAAGGAAAATGGGATTAGAGCTGCTTCCGAGCAGTCACTTCCTGTTTAACCAATACATTTGAATTGGTTTTTCTCTTCTCCCCATATTGAAAATGGAAGTAACTGTACCAATCTCACAGTGCTGATGAAAACACAATTACTTTGCTTCTCCTCACAAGCAAAATGCTGTGGAAAGGCTGTCACAGCACGTCCTGCTGATAATCGTTGAGGCTGGAGGATAATAAAAGCGGTTCTCCTTTCTGGCATGACAAAGGAATACAGTCCGCAGGTTAATCTGCTGTGATGGGTAATGGAGAAACCTCTTAAAATCATTCTCTGCTAATTACACCCTTGCTACTCAAAGTGTGGTCCATGGACCAGCATCATTGGCATCACCAGGGAACTCGTCAGGAATGTAGATGCTCAGAATCTACCCTCCACCTCACCAAATCAGCACCTGCAATTTAACAAAAACTCCACTAATGGGTGTGCACATTAAACCCATTAAAACTTGAGAAGTACTGTCCTGATAGATCTTTAAGGGCCTCTGAGCAAAGTTTCCTAGACCACATTGTTCAAAACGACCTTAGAAGGTATTTTAAGAAAATAAGAGTTCCCTGCTCAATTACATTTGGGCAAGGCTGCAAATTTGAATCCTTTCTTTGAAAGCTGTGACAATACCCATTAGTACAGTGAAGGCTCTGAAAAGTTCTCCCAAAAAAAAAAAAAATCTGTTATTTGATTAATAGGATTATTTAAGGGATAAGCTCAATGTCTCCCAAATGTTTTGTCTGCTGAACCTTTTTAATATGAAGAATCTCCACGTTCTGTTGAAAAAATGAGTCCAAGGACAGCTTCTCTTAAGGTCTCCAAGGTGAGCATTCTCCATGGATTATGTACACATAATTAGGCAGATATTCTGGGTAGCACAGACTTGTAGAAGAATGGCAGGAAACCCAGACTTCACTGTATCTAGACCTTTTTATTATGTCTGAATGTCTGTCTTCTCTCCCTAAACTTGTAAAAGGCTTGTGACTTAATATGCTTTCTCTCATTTAGGAAGAAGCAGTTTCCAAAAGCAGAACGAAGCAGGGCCAACACCTCAGACTTGCTCATCATTCAAATATGCTGAAGACACCATGGCAGGCCAGCCACTTCCAGGCTGGGGCGGTGAGGATGCTGCCGCTGAGACCCAGGTAAGGGGGTGGCTGAGGGAATGGTGTCTTCCACCATGTGAAAATTGAACTCCTTAAGCACTTTAGTGAAAGATGTAATTTTAGATCAAATTTGCAGTTAGCTTATTGAGCATAAACCAAGATCCAAGGCTCAGCCATTTCCCTGAACACCATGGGTTCTTGGTACACCTTTATTCTGAAGAATTCAAGGTGGCATCTGATGTGCACCCAGATTCTTGAGATATGCATGCTCACCCCTGGTCTGACATTGGGGAATAATCATTCACTCTCCTGAGCTATCAGGGCATCATTTGGAATGTTCTCCTTTTTTCATTATCTTGGTAGTTACTTTGACCTTCACCTTTCTTCCAAAAAAGGGGGAAAGCAGATATAATTGTGTTCCTTTGGGGGATTAAAAAAAAAAAACAAATCTTGGAGTGGTCAAATAACTTGGCAGGGTCAGAGAGACCTGTGTTTCTCCAGTGCCCATCATTTTTGACATGTCTTCTTCATTCACCAGAGGTGGGAGATCCAGGCCTCCTAATGTGTGATTGGACCCAGGAGCACTCACAGCCCTGGGAGTCTTCCTTCTTCCCATAGGGGTTGCTTGGTATTCTCTCCTGTTCACCCTTCCAAATGGTTACTTTGACCATGTCCAGCCTGTTCACTGTATCTCAGCTATGACTGGCCCACCGCAGGGTCCTTAGTAGTGCCTGGCAGTGAGAAGGGTGGAGAAAGAACTTATGGATCAATTACCAGAGCTTTCCAGCCCTTCCTTGACCTTCCCACTTCTGCTGCCTTTGGCTCTCCCAAAGAAGAGAATACTCCAGCATCAAGAGAATCCTGCTCTATTGTTGCTGGAGTTTCTGCCCAACTATGATAAGGAACAGCCAAGATTTGCCCACATCTGAGATCTCCCACTCCCAGGGTAGCTGAGCGTTCCTTTAGTCTAGAGCACCTTGGTATGGGAATAAGAGATGGACAAGTAGGGGCAGGAGATTGTCTAGACTCACTTAAGTGACTCACTGTAAGCCTCAACTTACATCGGAGACCACCACTCCAGAGACATGCTGGACAGGCTTGGGGTCCAAGGGAAAGTCAGTGTGGAGTAGAGACTGGAACTGGGCCCTCTGAATTTCTTGTCTAGGTATCCGAATGTCTGATTCCATAGGAATGGGCTGTAGGAGGCAAAAGTAAAGCTGTTGTATTCAAGTATGCCTGAGGTTAAACACAAAACTGCTGGGGCTCCTAAAGTTTACCTGCCTTTTGGTGGTAGAAGAAAGGGCTCCGGAAACCGTGGTTCTCAAGCTCTAGCTGATCAGAATCACCTGGAGGGCTGCAAGTCCTGCTGCCCCCACCTGTGCCCAGCATCTGATTTGATAGGTGTGAAGTGAGGCTCAGACATTTCTCACACATTTCTCAGGTTCTACTTCTTCTGCTATTGTCGGAACACAGAACGCACTTTGCAAAGCATTGCTATCACTGTGGTCACAAAGGACTCTGTGCTTGCTTTGGGGACGGGAAAATTGAGAATAGCATAAAAGATACTTAGAGTTGGAGGGGGAGACCAGTCCAGAGCCAACAATTTGATCGCAATGGCAAAGAGGTTTGAGTAATTCCAAGAGAGTAAAAATAAAGTTACTGAGTGCAGGACCAGAGGGGGCCTCTGCCCTCTATATGTCATGGCCAGGCACTGTTCACACAGTGTGCACATCTCAGAGTCCCCTTCCCCTTGTCCTGCATTTGCTTTGCCCACTGGCAAATCCTGCCTTGACTTATAAGACTCACCACTCTTGTTTGGAGGGAACTTAGAACTCTGCTTTCCTGACTGCCAGGTAGGGAAAGTTAGAATCAAGATTTGGCTTTATATACCTAGTACCCAGCTCAGTGCCTGGTTCAGTTAGTGTTTGTTGAATGAAGGGATGAAGGAATGTCTCCTCTTATCCAGAAAGTATTCCTGGAGTCTTTTCGGAACTCCAGATACAGGGTCCCCTGAGAACCATAGCTTGTCATCATTCATGGACATCATGCTGTCAGATGACCAATATGTCCAGTAGTGAGCTCTGCACCCCTTGAACTTAGCACATGGATTGGCCTAGGGTAGGCAAGTAATGAAAACCTGCTGAATGAGAGGATTAAATGAGTAAATGAATGAAGGAATATAAGAAATAAATGAATGCTTGAATTTATAACCCCAGCTGAGAGAACTTACATCCCAAAATGTACTATTGTAGTTCCTAACCAAGTGATATCCTCTCAAACAAACTTTAGGGACCCATTCCATGAATCTGTATCTGAACTGTCTCCAGAATAGGTGAGAAATGATAGGCTCTAATGAAGCAGTCTACAAACAAAAGAGGGTCCCTAATAACCATGACTCAACCCACAGCAATTGCAATTCTGGATCTAGCATTCCACTTGTGTGCATAGAGAAAAAAAAAAAAACTATTCCTACAGTATCAACCACTCCAGCAACTGCCAAACACAGTATCATTGCCACACCAGTGACATCCTGGGGGACCACGCTGTGTGCTCTTGAGTGGGTGAATGAGTAAATGAATGAGTAAATTAGATTGAGTCCCTTAAATCTAAACTATCTATGGGTTGGAATAGAGAATTATATAGAGTGAGCACTTGCTTTCCTTCCTGAAGGTTACCTTCCTTTGGGGGGTATGGAATAAAGTTATAAATTAGGCAAACATTTATTCTTTGGTTCCCAGGGTTCATGTTTTTCATACTTTCTGATACTTAAACACCCGTGATGAGATTGGTTAACTAAATAAGCTATTAGACTTGAAACAGCAGCTCCTAATAGGCACTTGAGAAAAATAAGATCCTACAGAGAATTGTACAAAATTCAGAGTGAGTGACCACAGGGACCTGCCTAGACCAAGGACGGTGGCAGAGTGCGTTGCATGGCTTCATTATTGCAGGCCCACTTCTCCTGCCTGGTAATTGAATAGATTGCACCAGCTCCATGGGAACCAGGAAAACCAGCAAACCTGAATCATTCTTGGGTGGAGGGTGGGCTAGACCATGAGAACCTGTCTCATATCCTCAACAGATGTTCTGCCCCAGTTTGATTCGTGTGACTCATCTCACCAGTCTCACATTACTCATCTAGGACAAGGCACTCAGAATGTACACATACTCTGTCAGCAGTAGCAGTTTAGTGACAATGACCTAGACTATGAAAATAATGTTTCAACCTGCAAAGGGAAAATTTAGGGAGGGTGGTGCAGAGCGCCATCCAGCTAACTCACCTGAGCACCCCAGACATGCAGGTTCCTCTCTTTGGGGAGCTGCGGACTATACCTTTCACTATGCTCAGCCCCACACACCTTGATTTTACATTTCAGCTCCACATCTCTCTCCAGATCTAATTTTCTATTATGTACAGAAGATTGTCTGTGTGCATCAACTTGTTTCCTGGTATAATCTTCATGACATTGAGGTGCAGCCTGTAAGGATTTTATTTCCAGATCTGGTACCTCTAAAACAGTTTCCAATTGAGTTATCTCAATAATGAAGGAACGACTATAAAGATAACTTTGTTCTTAATTACATACTTTGGCAAGTTGAATCACCCAGTGAGCCATGGTTGAAGTTTCTCAGTCTCTTGCTGACATCATACTGTGGAGCTCCAGAATTGTCAGCTGGGCCATTATGAACAGGTCTGGTTGTGAAGTTCAGGCACCCTCTCTGTCTATTTTCTTTGAGTTAAAACTGGCAGAACAAAAATCATTATCCCTGCACATTTAAAAATGTGTATATTCAGATGGCATTGTCTTATACATAAAAAGACAGATGATCCCCTAACACAAATGTGGTCTTGAGTTTGCTTTTCTTCTAATCTCTTCTGGATTGACAGAAATATTTTAATGATGCAATGAAAAATCATTCTTTCCTTATTAATCAACTTTTGCTCAAATACTAATTTGAAGATTATATAATGAAATCATGATTTTCTTTTTTAAAACAAGACTGATTTGTTGCTTTAGGGGAAAACATAATCTAGCAACCCTGTGTCTTTCCAATTTTTAGAGATTCTTGGCATTTGTAATGTGGGGGTGGGGGTAAAGACTGACATACAAGAATAGCCCATTGTTTCATTTAGTTAGTTAGTTATTTCAATTCAACAGGATAGAACTTTTTATTAAAGCATGTGAGAGTGTTTAAAAAATTAACAGGAAATACTTGTGTTTGAATAACACAAATTCACTTGTCTGTATAACTCAGGCTGGGCCAGAATAAATATACATTCCTAGATGTTGCATGTTTTTTTGTATATGTGTGATTTATTTTATTTTATTTTTTAATTTATTCTAATTAGCTATACACGACCATAGAAGGCACTTTTGAAACAATATATACAAATGGAGCACAACTTCTCCTTCCTCTGGCTGAGCATGGTGCAGAGACACTCCAGTAGTGTAATCATACATGTATATAGGGTCATAATGTCTGTCTCATTCTACTGTCCTTGCCATCCCCACACCCCTGCTCCTCCTTTCACCCCCCTCTGTGCAACCCAAAGTTCCTTCCTTCTTCCCCACCCCACTCCCATTATGGATTAGTATCTGCCTATCAAAGAAAACATTTGGCCTTTGGTTTTTTTGAGTTGGACTTATTTCGCTTACCAAGATATTCTTCAGCTCTGTCCATTTACCTGCAAATACCATAATTTCATTCTTCTTTAAGGCTGAGTAATATCCCACTGTGTATATGTACCACATTTTCTTTATCCATTCATCTGTTGAAGTATCTCATTGTTCTAATCTCCCACTTTGTTCCTTGTTTCTTATAAGTCATCAGAGAAACAGAATCACTGGTTGAATCACACAAAGGCTTAACGTTTTAGTCTGTTCCTTATTGCGATAACAAAATACCAAAGGCTGGGTAATTTATAAAGAAAAAAGAAAGTTTACTTACCTCATAGTTCTAAAGTCTAGGAGCATGGCACCAGAATGCTTCTTAATGAGGGCCTCATAGTAGAAGCAGAAGGGTAACAGGCATGTGCCTAAGAGAGAGAGGTGATAAAGGAGCTGATTCACTTTGTAACAATCTGTTCTCATGAGAGCTAATCCATTCCCTCAAGAACTAAAGATCCTGTGGGTCACCAATGCCCCTTAAAGGCCCTACCCACTCTCAACCCTGTTACATTGGCACCAAGCTTCAACATGGGTTTTGGTGGGGACCAACCATATTCAAACCAGAGCCTTTACCAGAAAGAAGGTGGTAATAGTCCTGAAATTTTAGTCAGTCATCCCGTTGGCTTTCTGCGGTTCATCAGTGCCCTTCCAGTTGTCACAGATGAAGGGCAGGGAACTTCACAGTTACAGGATTTCTCTGTGGAGGCACCTAGGACCATACCAACTTCCACTCCAGGCTTCCTTTGAGCCAGTCGTGCCCCACAGTGAATAACCTCCCCACCCCTCCGCTGCCCAGTCAAGAAAGATTTTTTTCCAGATCCTTCCTTCCAGCCCTAATTCATTTGTTGTTGACCAAATATTTGTTGAAGGCCTCCTGAGGCCAGCTTTCCAGAGATGAGTAAATGGACAAAGATCCCTGCCAGACACTAGTCAATAGATGTAACAGATAGTATGTGCATGCAATTTGTTCAGAGGAGAAAAGTGCAATGGAAAAGACAGAGTACAGCAAAAGGTGGGGCCCAGGAGAGCTGAGGTCGGGGAGGTGCTAAAGCTACAGTAGGAGTATCAGAGCAGGCATCCGAGAGATGTGACTTTGGAGCAGGGCCCATGGAAGAGAAGGGGTGAGCCAGGAGGGTGTCTGGAAAAAAAAAAAAAAACCATTCCCATGGGAGGGACAGCCGGTGTCCAAGCCAGCAGCAGAAGCAGGGGACAGTTGTGGCTGTTGCAGGCAGAACAAGCCAGTCAACTGACAGATGCGTTCAGATGGGTCAGGGGTCCAGAAGTCATGCACCTTTCTGGTCTAGGAGATACACACAAGAACTCTGGACATCTTTGAGCACAACTATGGTGTGACCTGAGATGTTTGAAAAGGATCCCTCTGCCATATTGTGGAGACTGAAGAAGTAAGATCAACTAAGGGGGTGGTGATAATTGTCCAGGCAGGAGATTTTAATGACTTGGACTAGGCTTGGTGCACTCCCTGAAGTGAGAGCAGCTGACTGATAGCGCTTACTGCAGTGATGGATACACTCTGTGTCGGCCGTGGCTGCTATATACATGAAACGTCACCCCTGGGAATAAGAAACTGGGGGCAGGTATTTGATTTCTCTACAGTTGTTCTAAGAGTGCCTATTTGAACTATTTCTTATTACTCTCTTTAGTTTTTTTTAAATTTTAATTTAATTTAAATATAAATAATAATCTAATTTCATTTAAATATAAATAGTCATAGGAGCTCATTGCACAGGGCCTGAACACAGCCTGATTCCTGATTTAAATAAGAATCCAACAGGATTGAGTGTTGGAGTGGAGGTGGCAGCAGAATAACAAGTGAATCAAGAAGGACTCCCAGGATCGGATCCTGGAAGGTCCAGAGTTACCGGAGACTAACACAGAGAAGGCTAAGGCTAGGGGTTGGAAGCTGATGTGGACTTCCATTTAGATGACCCAAGTTCCAGGTGCTGTGAAGTTCCAGGAGGCGGTGAGTGGCAGTTGACCGGTGAGTCTGGATTTGAGCAAACCAGATCAGGCTGGACGCGTGAATTTGATTGACATCAGCATGCAGAAAGCATTTCTAAGCTTGGGAATGAGATGAGGAGCAGGGCGAGAGTAGATGGAGGGGAAGCCATGTCCTTCCACCTCAGAGGTCAGGAAGAAGGGAGGACCCAGAAAAGGAGATTGAGCAGGAGCAGCAAGGAGGGCAGAGAGCTGGGGGAGTGTAGTGTCTTAGAAACCAAGTGAAGGAAAAGCAGTCAGCCTTCCATAACCACAGGTTCTGCATCCACAGATTCAACCAACCATAGATTGAAAATATTTGGAAAAGATCACATCTGTACTGAACACATACAGACTTTTCCCTCTTGTTATTCCCTGAACAGTACTGTGTAACAACTATTTACATAGCATTTACATTGTGTTATGTATTATAAATCGGCTAGAGATTTAAACTATACAGGAGGATGTGCATAGGTTATAACCAAATACTGTGCCATTTATATAAAGGTCTTAGGCATCCACTAGGGGTCTTGGAATCAATCCCCAGCAGATACCGAGGGACTACTTTATGTCAAGGAGTTGCACGATTCTGTATGATCCTTGTTTCTAAAAAAGAGGGACACAGTCATTAATTTGATCCTGTCTCTCAATCTGGCAGTAGTGCTCCAGTAGATGTGGACAAAAGAAGTAGAAATAAAGGATACTGGATGCGCTGAAGGCAATTTGAAAATGTCCTGGGAAAGGATTCAGATCACGACAAACTCTCTGAATTCAACGAGAGAGTACGTGGGTCTGAGAGAGCTTACCTGAGGGTTTGGATTTTAACATGGCTTGTTAAAATGAGCCATGAAGAGCCATAAAGACGCAGCATTTGGTTCTAACTATGGGTCCAGGTCAATGGAGAACATTCTTCTTGAACTACTTTTTAATTTCTCTGCAAAATGAAGTGAATTTACAGCCTGAATTTTTTTCTCTATGTATTCACTTTATTTGTCCTGTTGTCTTCAACCACAGCACCCTCACTCTTGAGAGGAGCAGGCTTATTTCATTCTTGTACTTTAACTTCTGGGCAAATATCACTTCCTGGGAGAAGGTGCTGCATTCCTATAAGCAGCACAGCTTGCAAGACAATCCCGCCCTCCACCATGGTACTTGACCTCTGCCTTTACATGTGTGCTTGTGGTTGGAGACCTGTCATTTATACAACCAGACAAGCCAGGCCCATCACCCTGGCTGATACTGGTGCTGCCAGGAAGGGAGAAGCTTGAGTGCAGATAGCTAGCACAGCTGTAGGTATATGCTAGCTTCTAACAAACCCTAGGAAGAGATACTCAGGGTGGACGCAGCATCAACTTTCCAAATGCTGACAAAGGTGGTATAAAAATTTAAAAAATAAAAATAACTGAAAAAAGAAATGAGTGTGTGCCTTAACCGGTGGAGATTTCATTCCACCAAGTCAGTAGTTGCTTGCTCTCATCACAAGGGCCTAGGAAAGTGAGAATTGTTATCGTAACTCTGGCTCTTTAAGTAACAAAGGTTTACAGTGGAAGGCTCCACCCTGCAGGGTGGAATTTGCCAGTAGATCCTGAAGCCTTACTGGATGTTCTCCACTACAGCTGTGCTTTCCGGAACACCCCCTTTCTTCTTGGTTCTCTGAAACTCTAGGGGGAGGACCTTTGGTAGTGGCAATTGGTCCTCCTCAGCTACCTGAACCCTCTGACCGCCCCCTTCCATAAAAGCCTCCTCAGTCCCTGGCCACTCTCCCTGCCAGTCACAGTGTGGCTTGCAGGCTGTCCCTTAAAGACAGAGAGGTTTGTGGCCCCATGTCCTGTTCCCTGGCTTCCCATTGCTTCTTTGCTTTACACTAAATGTGGCAAAAGAAACCTGCTTTCCAGAACCCTGCCTGTGGGCTCATCAAACACCAAAGTAAATGGACCTCTTTTCTTTCAAGGTTAGTTTCTTTAGCTTGATTTTTAAAAATGCTTAAAGAGTCCAAGTTGTTTAGTGTAGAGTCAGCTCAGGAGCAGGATTTAAGAGCTGGGTGGGTGGCCCAGCAGGTGAGGGAGTAAACAGAAGCAATTTGGTGGCTTTGTCACCATGGAGCTACCCACTCTGATTTGCCAAGCTGGTAAAACAAATATTCATGCCCCTCTCCTGCAGGCAAGACCTTGGAGAAAGCACAGAGGAGACAGAGGAGGGGAGCAAAAGGAGAGAGCAAACCAGGAACTGAATGTAAGCTGAAGGGAGGACCCTTGCAGCCCTGAATCCAGTCCCTGGGAGCAGGGTGGGGAATCTCACCCCTGGCTGAGCCCCCTGGGTCAGGCTGGTGAAGACAAACTTATAGGTCAACTTCTCCACCCAAACCAGGGCTAAGATGGGTGGCAGGGCTAGATAATGAGTAGGAAAGTTATCATGAGTTTTCTGGGGTAGGAGTGCACTTTTCTTAAGACGAAGAAACACCTTCCTTTAATCTTTATATGGCCTCTTTCCCATCCGGGTCCAAAGTGATTGGAAGCAAGACAGTGTTGGTGGGTAGAAATTCCAATAGGGTAAAGTGTTACAAGGGCATGGAAAGGAGTCTGGGGGTGAATAGTGAGACAACATGGCACTCACTGTGACTGAAACCCATTTGCCTGGTTCTGTTCTGCACCCTGATTTGCAGCAGTAGCAGAGGGTCAGGATGGCTGAGTGGTGGGTTCGGTGGGTACCTTATCTGAAGTGAGTGCTGTTAAGAAAATGGATTGTTTTTCTCATAGACTGATAGGGTGTTTGCTTGGTGACCAAACCTCCCTCTGCTCCTTGCTCTAGTCATCCATTGCCAGGCTCAACTCCCTCAAGTGTGTCACCTACACTGCCACCCAAGTACCTTGGTGAAATGCAAAAACCCATCATGTTGTTCTTTTGCTTAAAACCCTTCAATCATTCTGCATCACTCACAAAGTCCAGTCTTCCATCTGTATACTTCCTTTCAACTTCATCAATTTCCTACAATTTTAATGTACAGCAGGTGGCAACCAGGTTTTATTGTTTGCTTTTGGTTTTTTCCCCCAGATTTAAGAGTAGATCCCAGGTACCTTGGTTTGCCTCTTAGCATTAGCAGAAAGACAATATAGAGCTGAATCCCCACTTTTGCATAAAAATTTGTTCATTTAGGTGGACTGCTTAGTTAATTATATTTTCTTTGCTGTTTCAATGGAATCTATTGTATGTTTATTCTTCACTGAATTCACTTATACTCTTAATACTGCACATAATTGAATCATTCAAATTCTAGTCTGTTGAAGCCAATGTACCTACTTCTACTGACAAAGGCCAGCTGTCTTTCCACTTAAGTTTTTCACATTCATTTGTCATTAGAAGCTTATAGAGACATTTTGTCTTGATTTCACAGATGAGAAAACCAAGTGCCATCAAGCTAACAGTAACTTGATCAAAGTTCACAGAGTTAAATTTACTTAATGGAATCTGAAAGGATTTAGGTGCCTGTGACACTTCAGAAAAAAAAAAATAAAACAGTGTCTTATATCACATCAGCAAACCTTGTGCAACATCTGATGCCCAATAAAACCTGTTTATTGAATAAATAAATGTCTGGCTTATAAGCCACATTCACTGACACTGATTTAAGGTATACTTTGTAGTGCTGAGTCTTTGTTATGTATAATTTTAACTCGCTCTTTCATGATGAGTCTTCACGAAGGCTGTTGGAGGTATATTAGAATTATCTTGTTTTATTTCAGTAGCCCTGTGCCTCCTGGCTTGATTCTCTTAGACTCTGCCCCAATTTTGGAATTATTGTCCTAGAGAACCACTCTTATTCACTAATATTTATCATACTCCTGAGTTGAAGAGGAGAAATGGAGGCTGAAAACTATTCTAGAATTCCTTCTTTGAGGGTCTACAGGTAGAACTGGTTAGTAGGTTAAGAGAATCGGAAGAACAACGAGAAAAAGCTAGAAGAGACTTGATCTCCAAACTAGTTTATTTGGTTTATTCATCTACTACTCTGCCTGGCCATTGCTAGACACTGGGGTGGAGGGACAGATTAATAAGACAGTCCCACTCCCCTGTTTCTCATGGGCAGACATACAGACATGAGAGAAGATAATCAAGAACCATTAAGCATGACTGCTCATGGCCATACTGTTGGCTGCTCTGAGTGAGGAACCAGAATTCCTAGTGCTTTGTGGCTCTCATAAAATCACTTCTCCAAGGAAAACCCCAAAAGGATCTATAGCTCACCACCATATGGGGCTCTCTTTCAAGAGGGCCCTCTTCCTAGAGCCTGAAACTCTCCCAATGCTGTGGTCAGGTGAGATTCGCAAAGCTCTGCAGCTGGGGTCCCACGGCCGCCTGATGATGCTCGTCTAATCAAGCCCCAATTTCCCGAACAAGAAGTACATTTTCTTCCTTTGAAGGTAATTACACTCAACAAATTACAAAGAGCCAGGGCAGTTGAGTTAAAAACAATTGGTTTTGCAGTAATTAGAAAAACGCAAGGAAATGATGACTGTGGAACAATATTGAAAGGGACGCTGAGGGATGGCGGCCCCAGCTCCTGGTTAATTCTTCAGCTTGAATATTTAGAGATCCTCAACTAATTATGCAGAGATGATGAATTTTAAAAATGCTGCCATCCTGCTTTCTCAAGGCCAAGGACTCTGGCTATTAATAGAGCAATCAGATTTTGCTATATTATAGAGAATTCACACAAAGTTGTATCTATTTTAAAGCGTTCATCTGGCACATTACTTAAAGATGACAAATCTCCGTAATGTGCAAAATCAGCATTGGGTTCAACTCAATCCAAACTCATTATAATCACTCCGAGTCCCCCCTATCCCCCCTACCCCCGCCACAGATAAATCTATTGTTTAAAATGGACACTACAGGTAAGAGTTATCTTGAGTCCTTCCTGAAATTTCTTTTCCTTGGGGTCATTTTTAAGATTGGCTTTATTTTTGACAAGCCCATCCCAGATGGAGGTGAATGGACATAGGCACTGGAACACAAGGGATTTGTCTCCAAGCACTAAACTTTTCTGGATGACAAATGGAAAGTACTGACCATGACAAGCAGGCTGCTCTGAGACTCTTGCTGGGAACCAGGATCTCAAATTCCTGTGTCACCGTTTATCCATCATCAGAAAATCCACAGCCCATTCGGCTGTTCACATTGGATTTGCACTGCGCCGAGGTTCAGGGATCCTAGTGGGGAGAAGTGTCATGCATAATAGCCGTAGAAACAGGAACCCCAGTAACTTCTCAAAACCACGTGGTCAAAAGCTAAGCATCAGAAAGAACCCACTGTGCCCTCCGACAGGCTTGAAAGGGGAGGCTGCAATGTGCCCTGCATTTAATTATTTAAACTGCATATTGTGAGGCCCTTAAGAAAGCAAATGTCATGATGGACAGAATGAGTTTACCCTCCTGTCGAAAGAGCAGTGTGCCGTGGCGAGGCCGTCGCTCAATTAAATTGGACTGCGGGATACAGAGGAGATGGAGGCTCAGCCTGGGGACCCTAATGAGACATTTTGGAGGGAAGAGATGCCCCCCTCAGAGTTTTTCACCCTTTGATGGATGTTCTCCCCCACTCCTTTGCGTAGCACCCGCCCATGTTAAACACCCCTCAAATTCAAACATCTTGCAGCCCAGAGCATTTAAAAAGGAGCTTGCAAAATGGAATTTTAAAAGCAAATCTTTGGTTGATGTGGAATAGGTGGGGGGGAGCAAATGATACTTAATGTCATGCAAATTAGCAGTCTTTGGCTGCCAGAGCTGAAAGAAAACGAAGCAGTGGATCTAAAACCAAAGAAGTAAGTAACAAATAGATTGCTGTTTCATTTGTGAAAGTGTGTGTCTCCCTCAACTGCCTGTTGGGAAGCAAAATAAAGTATAACTTGGTAGGGGGTGGCCAAGAATGTTTTCCAAGGACCCTGATATTTATGCAGCACCATATGCATGTTTGAGGATGACTTTTTTTGTAAAGACACACCCCAATCTGAGTATATATCAAGAGTTCACACTTGATCAGCAAGCCCATGTGATTGTGCCCCCTCCCCGAAGACATTTTGGCAGTATCTTGAGATGTTTTAGGTTGTCATAGCTCTAAGGGAGCAGGGACTACTCTCTGGTGTGTGGAACCCAGGGATGTTGCCAAACATCTTCCAATGCATAGGACAGCCCCCAATAGCAAACGGTAATCTGGCACAAAATGTCAACAGTGACAAGAAGAGGCCAAGAGAAGGTTAACCTTTGGGTATCAGAAATGTTCATTAAGACGGAGAAGTTGTCAAATGTTTGTGTCAAAATATGACGGCAACCACAGACCACTGCATGCCCAGCAGGTACACCAAGCCCTGCTCAGCTATCTAAATTGGTGGTTAAGATGTGCTTCCTCCAAAAGGCTTTGACAAGGAAGTTCATGCTCCTGTCTGGCCTTGCAGACTTGGCTGTTGATCCCATTTGTTCCTGGTGCCTTTGTCAGAAGGTGTTAGGAAGGTGCCGCCTGTCAAGTGATAACAGAGCACAGCCTATTTGAGATTTCTGCACATTAAGTCCCTTATTAGTATTTCAGTTCTGTCTTTCTTAGAGAACATGTGCCCTGAGGAGGCAGAAATCCTTTATAGACTTGAAAGTTACCTGAGGAACAGTTAATCCTCACACTGCTCTAGTAAGGCAGGTAAATTGCAATTAGATGAAAAATGGAGGAAAAACAACATAGTCAACAGGTGTTTGGGTTTCCTTGGGGACCGAATAGTTTCATATTTGGCTTAAAAGCACACAGTGACATTTGGAAAGAGTCCCTTGCCAGAAATGTTCTCACTGGTGGTTAAGACAAGGAAGATTAACAATAATCTCAGGAATAAAATACAGGGGTAAATAAAAGGAGCAATCTTGAAGAACTGGGGGAGGTGGGAAAAAAATGAGTTCAGTGTTCAAAATGATCTTTTTAGATATTATACTGCACAAATGAAGAAAGCAATGTGCAAACCTTGAGGTGTTGGGGGAAAAGGAGACGGATACATTCTCATTTCTATAAAGTGCCTGGTTCTGAGATGTTAAGGACCAAGAAAGAGTCAATTTCAAGCACTGTCTCATGCCAACTGCCCCTCTTGAACTAGCCCAGAGCCTGGAAACATACATACAGTTACTACGTACAGCAGAGCAATGAAGCTCAAGGGAAAACAGGGTGCCTTCCCAGCCAGCAACCAGGAGTTTTGCCAAGAAAAATTCCAAGCATTATTTGGGAACCCAGAACCCAAAAGCCATGGACCACTTGGCTGTGTATTAGAAATAGCCATAACTGGGAGTTAGGACACCTGTTTCTAGCTCTGCGCCATTAATTGGAGCTGTGATCCTGGATGAGAAATACTGGCCATTCTGAGCATTAGTTCCATCTGCCACAGAACCCACCTTGCTACCTCCTCACAGGATGTCTCACCTGTGACAATTGATGTGACAGGACTTTCAACCTGCAGTGGGCTAGGAAATGTGGATATGATTATATTCAATAGGCCAGAAAAGGAAAATTTTATGAAATACAAGATTTAGGATGTCAGGTTAAGGGGAGGGGAGCATAGGGACTTTTTAATGTGTAGGCCAAAATAATATGAAGCTAACACTCAAAAAAAAAAAAAAGGTAAACTTTCCTCATAAATTAGCCACATCTGTACAGTTTCATTAAAGGAAATACCTGTAGTTGAAATTCATTCTAAGTGAGAAAGAACTGATTTAGGGTTCCTAGAAACAAGCCAAGCAGCATTTTTCTTCCTGTTTATTGACTTACAATAGATGGCAATATCCCAAACTATCACTCATTGTTCCCAGATACAGCTACGTGGAAACCTGAAATGTGGTAAGGCTAGATTGCAAAGTGGGTCCATTTTAATTAGGCAGGAGCTTTCTTATAAATCAACTTACCTTTTGTGGAATTTAGTTAGAGAAGGAGATATTATTCTACCTCTGTTACTCAGCTTTTTCTCCACGGTGACCAAAAGACCTCACAAGCACAGTTTTTAAGAAGGAAACTTTGATTTGGAGCTCATGGTTTCAGAGGTCTCAGTCCATAGATAGCCAACTCCGTTGCTCTGGGCCCAGAATGAGGTAGAACATCATGGCAGAGGAAAGCAGCTCAAGACATGGCCACTAGGAAGCAAAAAGAGAGTTCCCCTCATCACAGACAAAATACAAACCCATGACCACCTCCTCCAGCCACACCCTACATTTACCACCCAGTTAATCCCTATCAGTAGATAAATGTGCTGATTAGATCAAAAGTCTCCCATCCCAGTCTTTTTCACCTCAAAAACTTTCTTGCATTGTCTCACACATGAGCTTCTGGGGGACACCTCATATGTAAACTATAATACTTCCCATTGGCCAACCTGGCTCTTGACCTCATGCAGACTGAGGTTAGTGGCTAAGCCCCCAGTTGTGCCCTGTTGATTGCTTCTGTTAAGAACCTCCTCATGCCAGAAGCATAATACAGAGCCTTTCTTCTTCCACCCCTGACTTTTTGTTTGAAGAAACTGAGAAAAGTTTATTTAGCCCTTCCTCTTTTGTGCTGTAAATGCACCCTTGACCCTTTTCATCTGTGATGTTCCTTCCCCTAGATTCCACCAGATGCCTTCCTGAGTCTTTTCAGTCAGCCTTTTCACTGCTTTGACCAAAAGACCTGAGAACAACTAGAGGAGGAAAAGTTTACTCTGGAGCTCACCGTTTTAGAGGTCTCCATCCATAGACGGCCAACTCCATTCCTTGGTGTCTGAGATGTAGACAGAAAATCATGGCAGTAGTGTGTGGTAGAGGAAAGCAGCTGGGGACAGGACATCAAGAAGCAGACAGAGAGAGATTCTGCTTACCAGAGACAAAAAATATATACACCAAAGGCACATGCCCAGTGACCTACCTCCCCCAGCCATACCCTACCTGCCTATAGTTACTTCCCAGTTAATCCCTATCAGTAGATTAATGCATTGATTAGATTAAAGCTCTCATAACCCAGTCATTTCACCTCTAAACTTTCTTACATTGTCTCACATGTGAGCTTTTGGGGGACACCACATATCTAACCTATCACGGAGTTATATTAAGATATTTTAGAAGGTTAGGCTACAGTATCAATATTCTAGGAAAGCCCTGAAGCTATGCTGACTAAGAGTTCCTTGCACTACAGCGCCCTGGGAAAACTTTGCAAAGTTGGGAAGAACCCAGGTACCCAGCCTGTCATCTTGTCATCTTGGATCATAGCATACCTTGGTGATTTTGAATAAATGTCTTCCTTCCCGTCTTTGGGCCTGTGCTAGGCTGGATATATTCGGGTTGCCCCAGGTTTGATGTTCTTTCACTCTGAGAACAAGTGCTGCAATCAGGAGAAACTCAAGCTTCATGCTTCAGTATTCGGCAGCCTTTGCTATTTGAGAGGTTGCTGGAATTTTCCTTAGGGATCATTTTTAACTGATTTTACTGTTTTGAGCTCAGATGTTTCTCCCCTTTCTCTGTGTTGCCAACTCCATATAGACAAGCATTCTTATTGGTTTCTTGTTGGTTATGCCAGGCTTTCTCTGTACAAATCAAAAAAATGCAAATATATATCGCTTACACAAGAAGAGACATACTGTACACACTGTCCTGCTTCTTGTTTTATTTTGCCTTCTTCTGAGTAATGAATCCTGGAGAGCATTCCATGCCAGCATGTATGAGTCCTCCCTGTTATTTTTTACAGCTATATTGTGTAGCTATACCACATTTAACTTAACTGCTCTTTTATGGATATCTGTGAAGTAGATTCCCAGCAGTTGGACTGTAGAAGCACCTTCAGAGGAGTTGCACCATTTCACATCACCTGCAGTGACTGACATATGTGGGACCCTATGTCTCAACGAATTTAATAGCAAACTTTACAGTCTGTCAATCTGACATAGGAGAATCAATTTTCTAGTGTGGTTTAGACTTGATTTATCTTATTTAGAGTGAGGTTGAGAATTTTTGTGCAAGTCTGCTTAAAGCTCACTCATACTCCTAACTCTGTGAACCATCTGTTTGTGACCTTGTTGAATTTTCAACTGGGTTATCAGTCTTTGTCATCCCAATTTCTATAAGCTCTTTGAAAATTGGTGAGTTTTTTCCTTTGTTTGTGATACCAGTTATTAATATTTTCCCTGTTTAGTATTTGCTTGTGACATCATTTGTGATGTTCTTTGCTGTGTCAATTTTATTTTTATAATGGTCAAACTCATCAATTTATTTTACTAAAAAGAACTTCCCTAATACAAAGTTATTTCAAAACAAAAAAATCTTCATGTTTCTCATAGTTTCTATTTGTTTTTTGTTTGTTTTTTTTTCCTATCCAGTTATCATAAGTTACTTTAATATTGAAAAGAAGGTACCAATGGGTAATGAAATATTTCTTTTAGAGCCAACTGTGAAGGGGGTAATTTGGTAATTGGGTAAAATGAAAAGATCATAATTTTTTTAATGGCAATGATTTAACTGGCTAACCTGAGACTTTCACTCCCATATTCTGGAGTTTGCTATGTCATTTCACCATAAGGTATAATTAATAAAAAAGCCACCTAAGGCCCATGTTCAGGTAAAGGAAGGTGCTTTGCTGGCAGTGGCCTCTATTCATGGAGAGTCAGGGATTCTCTCCTGTACAGTTACTTTTGAAAGAGTCATATTGCAGACCTGATGATGATCAAGGAAAAGAAGGGACATATACAAGAGAAAGATCTGAGCACATTTAGACGGATTGAAAGCTCTTCTCAGTCATGATTATGGGTAGACTCAGTGAGTACTTGTTTGGGGACTCACCATGGATTACCACCAAGTTAAATGCAGTTGGGAATAGAGACAAGAAAGCATGAAATACTCTACTGCCCTCACAGAGCTTATTGACTAGTTGTAGAGAGAAGACACAATGTTGGGAAGAACCCAGGTACCCAACCTGTCATCTTGTTAGTTAAATAGTCACTAACACTATCAGTAGCATGTAAGTTCTTGTTATGCGTTAGCTATGAACTGTCCCCTCAATTCTCCTGCATTAGCTGGAATGTGAAGAGTTGGAATGATCAAATCATGAGAACTGTAACCTAATCAATTCATCCCTGTTTGAATGGACTAACTATAGGCAGGTGGGTATGACTGGAGGAGGTGGGTCAGTGGTGATGTGCTCTTGAAGAATTCATCTTCCCCTCTCCATTTCCTGGCTGTCATGAATGGAGCAATGTCCCTTCACCATGCCCTTCTGCCATTTTGTTCTGCCTCACATTAAGCCCAAAGCAATGGAGTCAGCCAATGATGGAATGAACTTCTAAAACTGTGAGCCCAAAATAAACTTTTCCTCCTCTAAGTTTTTCTTGTTGGGTACTTGGATCACAACAGCAAGCAGCTGACTAACACAGTCCCCCCCAAATACAATACAGAGCCTCTTTCCACCAATGCCCTCTTGTCCTCTGCTATAACTCCTTCTCTGTGATTTTACATCATGGACTGTCTCATTTATATCATGGGTCTTGTTTTCCCACGTCAGATAGGGGCTTGAAATAGATCATCTCAAAGTCAGAACTCAAGATACAGGTTGATGCCCCTCTTGGATCCCACAGAACTTCGGTTTTACCCTATCAAATTGTTATAATTCTCATCTGCCTCTTCCTTAATACTAGAGTGTGACATTTCATACTAAATCCCAAGCATAGGGCAAGCACTTAATGAATGTTTTTTGAGAGGCTGGGTGAGAAAACAGTTTATGACTACTGCGTGACAATTCTGAGCAAAGGGAGAAAAACATAATCAAGGTTTCTTCCTAGAGGGGGTTTCTTTTTTATTTTTATTTATTTATTTTTTTAGAAAAATGAAAAAGTTTTATTGCTTTGTAAGCAAAGAAGAAATACAGAAGACCCCTATCCCAGAGGCTGTGATTATGCTCATCAGCAGGCTTTTAAAGAGCTGATTCAAAGGCTATATTCCACGTGTTCTCTGTTGGCGTTTAATTCACTTGTTAATTTGAGAGAGAGTCATTTCTAAGATCTTCAGGTACCATCCCCATAGTACAGATATTTTGTTCCTATGGTTAGTGTGTATTTTAGGACAGATAAATCTGCCTAAAATAGGGAAGAAAGATAATTCTGTTTCCTCTGAGATTGGGGAGGGGAGAGATTAGGGAGGAGTAGGGAGAGAGGAAGAGACAGAAACATATCCATTTGAAATATAAGTTGTGGCAGAGCAGCAAGGACTACATTCAAAGCACAAAGCAGACCACTATTATGTTTCCCCGATGTGGAAAAAACAATGGATGACTATATCTCCAAACTGATTCCTGCTTAAGAGGGCAAAGTTGGGGGAAGTAACCCAAAGTCCTTGGTTCTATCAGGTGCGGCACGGACAGTTATGAGTTCTCAGCATCAGAGCAGTCCAGATGTCCACAATGGCAGATGGCAGGTGACTGGACAAGGCATACATAGGGCAGGGATCATGCTTAGCCAACAAGACAGCAATGATTACTTTTTTGTAAATAATTATCACAAAAGCAATTTAGTATTTCAGTCAGTCTCTGGAAACCATGAAGACAATAATTCGTAATAATATCAGTGAAAAACAGATCAAGTTCATCAACGTAGGAGGTTAGGAAGATTTGTAGGTCTAGGAGATCAGGCTCAAAATAACTCAGGACAAACTTACAACTTTGGAGTCCTTGTAATCATTATTATTAGGCACTCCCACCCAAGAACCCTTCTTTAATAGCCTCCAGCTTTTCTTTCTTTTGGTAGGGCTGACACAGTGTACATCTTAAGTTACATTTTTAAAAAATTGTTTTCCTTTTAAATGTCCATGTAGGACTGTGCTTAGGCTATACTCTTCTGCCAGGTGTTTAAGACCAAGTTGGTCAAAACTGATCTTGTTCCTATCTAATCTTAACAGCTGAGATTCCTCGGAGACCACTCTGGGGACATGTGCAAAGTCTCTTGGCTTCTTTAGCTTTACCAGTGGTGCCATCTGCCTGCATGGGCCAGGGTCTGGTTGACAATATGTGGCTTCTCTTGGAAGCCTCAGAGACATTTCCCTCTCCAATGACTCTCCTCTTTGCAGATTGTGCAGTGGTTGGCTTCCTGTTCTCTAGGGTCCTCTTAATCTCTCT